TCAATAATACAGACTTTCGAAGAATTATAGCCTAGCTGGGAATGGAGGATCTCTATTCACCAACTTGAGGGGGAGTGTTGGAAAACGTGGGGTTACTGGTGCAGATCTATATTTGGTAGTTGTGTAAAAATAGAATTGTATATATTCCTAGGATTGTGGATGGACTGATTTAGAAAGTTTTTCTTTCTATTTCTTTCTTTTTTATTCTTGTACTTTCTATTTTTCTACTATCTATTTTCTTTTCTTTCTATTTATTGCAGCAGCTTACTGTATAAATATGCCGATTGGCAATAGAATGAAATACATCAGTATTCTATCATTCCAAAACACTTTCTCATGCTGGTAGTGAGTCCTTGGTTCGGATTGTTTGTTTCTCCCGAAAATCTGATGACATTGAAATCACCTCCCACACACCATGGTCCCTCCCAGATTCCGCTAGTAGCACATAATTCCTCCCAAAAAGCCTCCCTGTCTCTATAGGAGTTAGGACCATATACATTTGTTACCACCCATTCATTCCCATCCAAAAGTCTTCTAATTTTTAGGGAGACTGAATATCTACCAATTAATTCCTCCACACATTCCATTTCCTCATTTCTCCAAATAGTCAAAATCCCTCCTGAGGCTCCCCATGATGGGGCATATGACCAGCTTTGACCCCTGGCTCCCCAAATACTTCTTATCCACCTTCTATTTATCTCTGAAAGTTTGGTTTCTTGAATCAATAACATATCTGGTCTTTCTTTTCTGAAAGTATTCCTGATTATCCCCCTCTTTTTGGCACTTCCTAGGCCTCTTACATTCCGGCTAACTATTTTCATTTCGACCTGTTTGTGACCCCTTATCATTGGCTGCCTAATATTCCCCTCTTTTCCTTTTTAGGTTCCCCTCCTCCTTCTCATAATTTATTCCACACTTAAGTTTCTCTAACTCGCTTCACTTTCTTCTTTGCTTTCCTTTTTTCCTCAAGTATACCTTACTTCCTTCATTCTTCCTTCCCACTCTTCTCTTTCCCTTTGCCTCTTTTTTCTCCTCCTGATTCAACCTCCTAGCACCCACAGGGTGGTTTACTCTATTTTCATTACTCTCCATCACTAGGGTCGGGTCAAATAGGCTTTCCAGAATTAAGGACCAAATTCTAGCTCCCTCTTGTTCTAGACTATTGTCTGATAGGTTCTCAGAATCTTGGGCTGTGGCACTTTTCATTGAGAGATTCCTGAGAGGAGTGGCATTGGCTGTACCTGCGCAGACACATGATAATAATTTAGAGGGATCTAAA